TTTCATAAGAAATTTGTTTGAATAATCAATATTTGCATTGATTTTTGGCGATTTATTGAAACACCGTCAATAACCATTTATCAATTACTTATTAAAGTAACCGAACTGCTATAAACTTGATATCTCCACTGCTACCTAAATCCAAATTCTAAAAAAAAATGTTTCTAGAAGAAGCGACTTTATTGAGAAAACTTGACGATTTAGGTATAGGGACAGGATATATCATCTTTGAGCATTTTTCACCATCTTTCAATTCATCTAGTAATATACAGGGGGTTTTATTTGAAAAAATGAACTTTTGACTACTTTTATGCACAATGGAAATAATAGTAATTTAAGCACGCCCTGTATGATATGGAGTCGATTTCTTGGTGTCATTTGGATATTTCAAGTTTGTCCAAACTATCATCAAAATATCAACTTTTCATGAATTGAGAGTACTGATGTACTTAATTTCAACTAAGGCTATGTTTTGGACCATATTTAGCACAGTTTATTTTTTATCTCGAAAACAGATAGAGATAGGTATGGGACATTATCAACAAAAAATTATTAAAATACCAGAGCAATTCTAAAAATGTATTAATATACGGGGTGTTCCATTTAAAAAAATAAAGTTGCTAGGACTTTTTGATAGAAGTGGCAACGCCACAAAGCTGAAAATATTTCAGATCGATAGAACAGTTAAGGAAATGTGAGAGGTGGAATGTTCAAAAAAATAATGCTTTGCGTTTTCCAGAAACGTATAACCAACCATCGACCGTGCGTCACGCTGTATAGTATACTATTTGGTATTGGTCCATCATCGTTATTCATAATATTATTATGTTTACTTATTTCTACACTCCGCAGTCCTTACATTTCATTTCGTAAATTCCAGACTTTTCTGAATTCTCGACTTTGTCTTTTGCACTTCCCAAAAGGCTCTGTAGTGTATGACTTGTTTCAAAAACCACCTTCATACTTAGTTTCTTGAAAATCTTTTCAAATCTTCATGTATTGGTGGTATGGAACTGAGATATATTTATCTTGGTTTTTGTCCTTTCTGAAAGTCGAGATTTCGTTCATTCTTAACCTAAACTTCTTCTTCCTTATTATGTCATCTACAATACCCCTCATGAAACCGTTTTGGCGATACAACTGCCGCAATAGATTTTCAATTAATAGAACACACTTGCAGACCGATTTCGGGCTGTTTGGTCACTCTTCAGTGCAAGGTAGTGTCTATCATCAACATAAAGTCGATGATTTCCGATAATTGAAAATCAAATTCCTTCAGAGTATCATTCCTCCAACTAGGCTGATGCAGACAACAATTATTGAAAATCATTGATTTTATGTTGATGATAGACACTACTTTGCTCTCACGAGTGGCCACACAGCCTGTTTGTTCCAATATTTGAAAATCTATTGCAGCAGTTATATCGCCAAGAGCATATGCAGGAATAACTTCAGTGAAGAATCCTGCACCGATACCTTTCAGATATAATCCAATGCCCTTCGTGGTATTAGCCAGGAGAGTAGTGGTTTTCTAATAGGTGGCTGGCCTGAACGAATTGTTCCTTTAGTTGATTTGATTTATAGCCAGTCTTCAAGTATGCCCACTGACTATATCTCAAATGATTTTAGAATGTGCTTCGCTATCTCCGATTTTACCATCTGTATTTTCCTTGCATATAACAAGGTATACTGTAAATACAATCTTTCGTTCTTTCGGCCGTATTTTCCGGTTGAGATCTCGTTGTGTTGGTAGTTGTTCTTACATTACAATGCATTTTGCTCCAAAATTGTTTTAATGATAATTATTTCCTCTTTCATATCATGAACTGAATTGCAAACTGTCTTTGCCTTATCATAAAAATATCTAACTATACCTTTTCTGACGCTTGTGTGGTGATCAGATTAATAGTGGAGATATCTATTAGTATGAGTTTTCTTTCGATAAACAGATTCCCTATCAGTTTAGTTTTGTTAATTTTACGGATTCAATAGGCAGAATGCCATCATGTTGTGTTACTAATAATCAGAAATTTCACTTCATCAGCTGTATTCAAAAATGAACTAACTCACTTTTTATGTCCACACTAAGTTACTGAATTTTAATGGTGATGAATTATTTTACAATTACGATCGGCCAAGTGAATATCGATACACTTGATGAACAAATGTGCCAAATTCGCGTATTTGTTATATTGCTCCGTCTCAAACTCTCATATTGTTTGTGCATTGATGTGTATGTTGATGATCATATTCAATATGTTCGCACTCAGTTATAATACGTAGTTAGTTATTTTTTGAATCATTGTTTTTTCTTTCTGCTATAAACAATGTATGTTTCTTGGGAAAATAAGTGGTTACTATATAACGCACAAGTATATGAAGTAATCTATTTCATGATGTACTCATCAGAGTTTCTGTAGAAAATTCACTGAGCTATGTGAAGCATTACATGTTTCCAAGGTAGTCAGGACATCTGATAAGTCGAAAGTAGCTCTAGGCTTCTTTCAAGACTTTTCGTGAGCTACTGATTCAATCACAACTTTACTTGTCAAACTACAGAGATATGGTTTTGAGGGGTGAATCTCCAATGATTTTCATCATATTTAATGGATCGTACGAAGCTTCCATTAAATGACCTGCTGTATTTCATAAATACATTCATATTTTGATGATATGAATATATTGATTATAAATAAAGTTATTCATCAATATGTATTCATCAATTTGGACACAGGAAACTCAAAAGGATGTACCGCTCTCGGTGGAATCAAATGTGCAAGTCACTTGAACATTTTGTGTGGAAGTATCTATAAAAGAGAGACAAATTTCCAACCTCTCTTCGATGTTCCAGTCTATCAAGGTTACACTTGATGTTCGCGACTCCAATCAGGCGGATGGCTCTTTTCTAGAAGGAATCCAGCAATTTCAGAATATGTTTGGGGACAGAGCTCCATACTCCAAAGAAGGTCGTATCTGAGCTTCATGAAGCATCAAAAGTTGCTGAGGTGTGTACAGTTTTCTGGTTTGGAACAGTGTTCCAGTACCGAAATCCGAACTAGGTTTGATAATGCTTGCAATAAATGCAAACTCTGTATAAATGAAAGCAAAGAACTTCACAATCAGAGAATAAGGGATAAACTGCTTGCCAATCCCAACAGGTCTAGATCCTTCTGGTCGGCAGCTAAAACTGTTAATCAGAACTTCACAAAATCCACAATTCCACCACTAACGCAAGCCGATGTTTCAGCTGCACCAACAGCCATAGAAAAAGCAAATCTACTAGTTGAACAATTTCCGTCCCTCTCTACTATAGATTTTCTGGGAAAGGCACCACCTACTATTCCCACAATAGAATTCACAATGCCGGAAATTACTTTTCGACAGAGTCTAGTCAGGCGAATTTTGAAACAGCTCAATATCAACAAATCGTTTGGCCCTGATGAAGTTTGTCCGTTTTTATGAGGTAACTTCAAACTATATCATTTCAGTGAATTCTTGGTCAATTCAATCGAAATGAGCTCCATTTGAATCAGTGCACTTTTGCCAACATAATACGAATCAATTAATCAGCACAAGAATTGTGTATTCGGGATTCGATGAAATCGACGAAGGCCATTTTGTCTGGTCCCAATTGGCAAAGGTTCTACCATTGAGAAGATGGTAATCGGTTGGCGAGTGGTCTAGAGAGTATGGTGGGTGAGGCAGATGTTTGTCGCTCAGTTCGTTTGATTATCGGACGGAGTTTTGTTTTGGTGAAGCAGGATTATACTTTTTTTGTTGAACAGTGCTGGATGATGATGACGCAATCATTGGTAAATTTCGTCGATTTTCTCTCAATAGGAGACTGCTGTGATGTTTTGGCCCGGTTGAAGTCACTGAGAACCGTACAGTAACCATGGTCTTTTTTGATCAGTTTTCACCTTCAAGAAGTGCCTGGGTAGCTCATCTGTGTCCAATTACTGTTCTGAACGTCTCCTGTTGTAGAAAATCCATTTTTCATTATACGTGACGATCCTATTCAATGAAGGATCGGTTCAATTGCGCGAAAGCAAAGAAAAGCAGCCCTCAGAACGTGACAATTTCTATCGATCGTTCAAATCGTGAGGCACCCACTCTTCTAGTTTGTTGATCTTTGCAATATGTTGTAAAACATCAGAATTCACATGGAAATTGACGCCCATATCCTTTGCCATTCAACGCACTGTTTGTGCGTGGGATGGCGAACTTTGGATGTAATATCGAACCATAAATAGCGAGCATGTTACTACCATTACTGAAGCTGTTGGGTTATCATCCAGTAAATTGGATATTTGTTCAGATTCCATCTCATAAATCTTTGAAGTGATGAAGTCATTCTTGATCCAGAAATTGTTGATTTTTGGGATAAATTCACAGATGTGAAGGAATTTTGTTTATCGAAAAGATAACAGTGAGTCTCACTTGCCAATATACTGTTACATATAATTGACAATATACTGCTCAGTATCTCCAGGAAGACCCACTTTGGGAGACTGGCATGGGTGCAGAAGCAGTGGATCGTCAATCGTTCTCCTATACTGATGTTTCACCAATTGGGCATCACAGTATGAGGCGTAGAGTTTGATGATCTACCAGCAGGAATTTTGACCACCCTGTCAATCTCGGAGTTGCATGAGAGTTCATTGTCAGGTTAATTGTCTATCTTAATGTTTCCTATGAGCTTGAATGTCTTTCTCCAGCTGGTGAGTTTGCTTTTGGGTATTCAATGATAACTGGGAAGGGACAAGCAAAAAAGAAGCATGTAACAGTTAACATTTCAATAAAATGACGATGCCGTGCATGATAACTAAACTATCCTGAATTAAGTCAACATCTTATCAAAGCTCAATAGTGCCCCAACGTTCGCAAGTCTTCAATGTTCAGAGTTTTTTTTTTCTAGACGGGAGATTTATACTTCGAAAATTAGTTCAATGCGATAATTTTTCTTGGGTGTAATTGTGTAACATTTTTTTTTATTTCAGTTTCAGTTTTGATCCTACCGCCAGAGTAACAACAACTACAGCTATCATTGGCCAGCTGTTCATGTCACTCTCGATTTTTGGATGCCAACAAAATTTTGTACAACGGTATTGCAGTATGGATTCACAGAAGAAAGTAACAAAGTACGTATAAGGCCAGTTCATTTTAGACTTCAATGAGTTCAATTCAGTTTTTACTCACGTCACAACGTTTTTGTTATTATTAATCATTTCTTTCATTGAAACAAATGAAGAATATCATGAACCACCGGATAGAAATTTCAATATTTTCGGTACATATACGAGTAGAGATGAATTTTCACCAAATGGACTTCCTTGCGACTAGTTTCGTTTTCAAAAACAGAAAAAAATTTTCTCGTTCCGGAAACAAACTAGAAATTCGAAATCTACCAAACAGACAGAAATTAGTCTGAGTCGCGTGTTTTGTTATGAACTGTTTTCTATCATTTCCACTTCATTGCAATCATATATCTGCATTATTCAACAGGCATTGCTTTTTTGCTCATGTTCCACAAAAGAAAATTGAATCGCATTTCTTTTTGAAATAAACAACAATAACACAACAGTTTTTTGGAGATATAATTCGAAAAAAAGAAAAATTGCTTGCTTTGAATATTCGTACACAGAAACGTTACACAATGTAATGTATGAAACAGTGCTGATGAAATTTCTTTAACAAAAAAAAAATTTGCCGATGTACCAAGTTTGGGGTGGAACAACTACTCATCAACATTTGCCAAATAACTTTGAAAGGAGATTCACTCAATCCCCACAGAACAATACAATACTAAAAGAGGCACATCTGCTTTTGTCAAAAGAACATTTCATAAAAAGTATTCAGCCAACTGAAAAGTTCAATTCCAGTCACAAGGATTTTGTTCAGTTATCAAGGAAATAGTTTTCAACAGATATACGTTCTGATACTATAAATACCATTATTCGACATGGGACGGTAGGGCGGTAGCCTGGTGGGTTGACGGGTTTGCTGTACTCATTCAATTGACCGCTGTGGGAACCAGTGGTTCGAACCGCAAGGCTGGTCGATCGATTTTCACTCCCTATCGTCCAACCCGTTAACGGTTTACGGAAAAGAGATTCCAATAGATTTCAACAGAGATTTTGAAAAATGAATCATTTTTAGGTATAGTAAAGCGTATGCCACAAGTGTGAAATAATCTTCCTAATATTCGATGATTTTTCACAGGAAATAATGGATTTGTTTTTCTCTTATTGTTTTATTTCTAGATTTGTTTTCGTTGATACAATTCCGATGTCGCAGTGACCGTTTCAGTATTTCTCATGTTCCATGCTTCCTCTTTGATTTGCCGCTTATTCCATTTCAACTGAAAGGTATCTGATGATTAGTAGGGGAACTCAAAATACTCACTGAAATTGCAGAAGTTATAACTACCTTCATTTCCAAATCCATCCAATTCCACCAAATATCAATTTCACTGTAAATAACATAACTCAGTAATTTCTTTAATGTCCCCGCTTTTTTGAATTTTGAACGGGTCAACTCAAAAAAATGAAATTTGGGATAATCAAATTGATGCATGAATACATTTTATGAAATTGACAGATGAAACTTTCAAGATGGCGACAAGGCGCCATCTGGAAAAATAATTAAATGGAAAGGGGGGTCTTGTGACACATCATTTTGAAGCTCCTGACGAATACTTCACAACCCTAGAATATGAAGTCAATATATTCACCTACTATGAAATGGCGGAACATTTAATAATTTCCTGAAGAACATATTAATATCGATATTTCTAGAAATATTCCTTATTATCTTCCATATGGCAATAACAACAATCCGATAAGGTTTGTTCAATTATTTTTCGTCAATAAAAACTACAAAAAATGTCAGAACGACAATGAACATCATTGTTCAATTAGAATATTCTTATTTATTTTTTCAGTTTTACTAGTTGAAAGGTAACACGTCAACAATTTCTAAAATCGTCAATTCTGGTTCATTGGAAGGAAAAATTTGAGCGATTTTTATTTCCGGTGCGACGCGTAACTTTCACGAGACCGAAAGGATTTTCAATGAATGTTTTCCGAATCGTCCTGTCTGTAGAAAATATTTGAGGGAACTTGTATCCAAATTCACACCGGTGGTGTATACTTAACAAAAAGCTCCCAGGTCAATCGTTCATTCCGGAAGAACAGCAAGTGCAAATAATTGGTGAGATGGTAGTAAATCCTGAACAGTCTACTTATTCCGTCGCGAATGTTTATGAGGTGTCTCCTTCTACTGTGTGGAGACTTTTGGAAACGAATACGTATCATCCATACAAAATTGAAATGATACACCAATCAACTAAAAATGATCCTGATCGAAGAATATAATTCTGCGAAATCATGACGAAAACCATCGTAAGGCATCTTACATATCTCCACAATATTTGTTTTAGTGAAGAATTTACATTTTTTCAACAATAATGTTCACAGACAAAATTTCCGTTATTGGAGTGACACCAACCCTCATGTTTTTCGGGAAACAAATACCCAATATTCAAAAAAAAATAACGTTTGGGCAGGAATCTTAGGAAAGCATATTGTAGGACCTCTATTTATTGGTCAAAACTTAACAGGGAAACTGTATTTGAATATGCTGGAAACTACTATTGACCCTCTCATAACTCAAATCGTTGTAGCGAATCCTATTGAATTTGATATGGATATTGTATTCCAACAAGATGAAGCACCACCACATTACTCCAAACAAGTAAGAAAATATTTGAATATTTCTTTTCCCGGTCGTTGGATTAGTCGTCGAGGTCCTACAGAATGGCCAGCCCGCTCACCAGATTTGACGCTTTTGGACTTTTTGTCATGCGGCTATTCGAAGCAAAAGGTGAACGAATTACGAAACTGAACCTGCTTCAATATTGGATATACGGCAGAGAATAATACATATTTGTAGAGATATTGAAGTTACTGTGTTCGAAAATGTTCGGCGTGAAATGCCGGATAGGCTGTTCATATGTCAAGAAGTTTAATGGCAGCCATTTCAAGCTTCTTCTGAACTGACCTCAAGCTCATTACCTCATAGTATGTAGTTAAATGTTAATGTATTCAGGAAATTATTAAAAATTCCGCCATGTTGAAGATATTGAAATTATATTGTGGAGTTGTGAAGCATTCGTCAGGAGCTTCAATATGGTATGTCACAAGACCTCCCTTTAAATTTAGTTTTTGTTCCCAGATGGCGGCCAGTCGCCATTTTGAAAGTTTCATCTGTCAATTTCACTTCAAAATAAAGTATTCATGCATCAATTTTATGATACCAAATTTAAATTTTTTGAGTTGACCCTTTCAAAAAATAAAAGGGAGGACATTAAAGAAATGCACTGTATATTTGCGATTTTCCAATGCGATGTTCCCTAGCTTTATTATTCAATGTCAAATGATTTTACGCATCTATCGAAATGAAATTTTGTTATAGAACTTTCCGCTTTCTCAGTGGAGTTATTTCAAAACCCAAATGAGTTTTCGTAAAACTTTTTTCCTACACGAAAAGTTTCATTCCCAAGGGTTGATAACAATTCGATAATCAAACTTCTTGACCTGATACTATCATCGACGCGTTCTAGCAGACAACCGACATAAGAGATTTTGAGGTAGCGGGAAACGTTGAACGAATATTTTTAGAGAACGTTCACGGAAAGTATAAGGTTGTTTCAAAAGTTTCGTCCCATTTTATGAATCTACTTCAAACTGTAAAATACTCATTCATTTCAATTGAAATGAGTGCTATTTGAATCAGGGCAGTCAGCGTAACACGAGTCGATTGATTTTGTCAGCATAAAAATTGTGTGCTCGTGATTCAATGAAGTCAACGAAGGCTCTTTTTTTGCCTGGTTGTTATTGGCGGAGGTTCTACCGGTGAGAAAGTGATCGAAGTGCTTGAAGAGATGGTAGTCGATTGGCGAGATGTCTGAGGAGTATGCTGGGTGAGGCAAAACTCCGACGGTGATTTGTGGAACGTGAGGACGGGCGTTGTCGTCCGACAGGATCGGACCTCTTCTATTGACCAGTGACAACTGCTGCTAACGCAACTTTTAGTGCCTTTCGTTGACTTCCTTGCAGCACGGCATTGCTGTGATGATTTGGCCTGGTAGCAGAACGTTATAGTGAATAACACCATCCGCTATCAGTGAGCATAATCTTTTTCTGGTGAGTTTTCGCGTTTGAGAAGTGCCTGGGTGGCTCATCGGTGCCCAAATAATGTCTTGAAGATTTCTCTCTCTCTCTTGAAGATGATTTTTTTTGGTACCTTGTGAGCTGTCTGACTTATCCATTTAGTCTAAGTTTCCAGAAAACACTGCAGCCTCTTGGGCTATTGCGTTTATTCTCTCATCTTCTCATTACACCTAATCCATAAGTCTAGTTCGCTGTACTAGTTTGTACAGGTTCCGTGTTGGATGTTCGTCACATTCTTCTGGACGTAATTTCGTACATCCATATAATATATGGCTGCCTACTGTGATTCAGTGCCTCACATTCGCATAAGATATGTAGAGCGGTTTCTATCCCTTCGTTGCATAATCTGCAGCTGAAGTCTCCGTTATACAGCCCCATTTCATTCAGGTGTCCTCTAAAAAAAATATGTTTTTCCGTTAATCAGCTGTCGCCCCCATACGAAAGACAACTCTCAGAAGTTGAGAAACTTGTGCGAGCTAAGAACTAACGAGGTCTTACATTTTAACGTGTGATTCCTAACACGGTTGCAGAATCATCCCAGCTTCAACCAGATACATTCTCTCGAGAAAAATATCTGGTCGAGGCAGGAATCGAACCTACGGTCTTCCGATCGTGAGTCGGGCGCACCACCACCGCGCCAATTCCAATTGTCTAAGCGGACAATGACCGGTTAGTAACCCTGTAATCTTTCTAAGCCGGTCCCTACTATATTGAATAGTTCTTCGGTTCTTTTCTCGGACGGTTCACTAAAGAAGGTTCTACTGTGTTTTTGGCCAGGTACTTTTGTCCACTACTCTGTGTGCTTCTTATAGGTTCATGTCAGTACAAAGTTGATTTGTTCCTGTTTGCAAGTTCAATCAGTTCTTCAAGACATTCCCAGACCAGTTTTGATGTCACCTTCGGGTTTGTCATAGCTCCTAGTGCGTTCTTGCTCTCTGTAAAAATATTGATCCGCTGATTTCTTTCAGATATCAATTTAATAAACTTTACACATCGCAAGATAGCATACACTTTCGCCTGCAAGACGGATGTGTATAGTCTTTTGCGGATAGCTGTAGTTCAACTTTCTATCCGCTCGGTATATTCCAGCTCCGGTTCCATGTTTGGTATTCGATCGATCTGTATACCAGGTATTTTTTCCAAACATGTTTTCGGGATGACTAATGGTCTTCCACTCTTCACAGCTTATGATTTTGGCCATGAAGTTTGTGTTAAAAGTGTACTCGGTGTTATATTCAATATGTGCTCCTCCACTTGTTCCTAAATTTCTATTCGGTGCGATCTTTTGTAGTTCGGTGAGTTTTACAATCTGAATTGGCCAATCCTGGCCAATTCAGATTGTAAAAGGCTACTTCAGCCTTTCCAATTTTCACCAAACACCGCACTCAATTTTCTTTACGTCACAAGCTAACTCTCTCGTAGGTGGATTATATTAGGATCATCCAAACTTCCATTGTCTAATATCTAATATATAAAATGATGTGAAATCCCTGAAACAACTAAAAAAGAAGAATTGAATGAAAACAAATAGCTGTAAATAACAATTATATCGAGCAAAAACACCTGAAATGAAATAACAGTGAAATATTATAATAATATTATTCCATTTCTGGTTTTTGTTTGCTTAATATAATGGTTATTTACAATTATTTATTTTTAATTCTTCTTTTTCAGTTGTTTCAGGGATTTCAAATCATTTTATATATTAGATATTAGACAATGGAAGTCCGAACTAGTGATATTCACCATGTAACAATGTCAATCATCTTCAAACTAGCAGTGCAAACTTATAATGATCACATATTAATCCTAAAATTATGATCTTTTTGAACTCTCGTGATATTCATTGCCATTTTGTGATCTTCTATCACTTGATCTATATACAACTCTCTTAGCCCTTCAAAACTTGTGAAACGCTTTGTATCTTTCGAATTGAAGATAGGAAGGAACGTAAGATAATAATTACCCTATTCTGGAGAGTTCAGTAGCTCTTTCAGAATGATAACATTATTTTGATTATTTTGGGTGATCACTATCTACAGATATTCAGATGGGAAAACCATTTCTTCAGTGGTTGATTCTAAAATTATTTTAGCCATTCAAGTCTAGATCTTTTCAATACCTAACCACCTGAAATAGGATGACTAAGTTGCAGTTTTGGTTTTTGTTTTTTTTTTGTTTCAGAGACTCTTAAGTCTGCGTTTCATTGAATTGAATATATTTCAATGTTACTATTTGAAATCAATTATCTTCTCAGCTGAGAAAATCCAATGTAATTTGGATTTTTTTCAAAATCCTACTTTAAAAATTATATGGCTTTTTCTTATTTTTCATCTAGTAATATCTCATAATCTTCCACAGATGAGAAGCAATTTGTGAGTATAATTACTCAGGCGCAGAGTTCTTTCACACTCATTTAACTTCTATCTCGTTTCCTGCGAAAATAATAAATGCATTGCCCGATGGGATTTTTTTTTCAGAACAATGATGTGCAATATTCCCGTGATAACCGTATTATTCAGCTTATCCTGGGTAGTCGGCATGGTAGTCTACGCCGTTTATGCAGATTGCGACCCTCTTTCCTCCGGCTACATCGAAAAATATGATGAGATCCTTCCCTTTTTTGTTGAAGACCGCTTCAGCTATTTACCAGGACTACTGGGGTTATTTATGGCCAGTCTCTTCAACGGAGCACTAAGGTGAGTGATATATAAGCAATTATCCTTTTTGTTATGGTTTTGATACTACGGGAATAGCAAGTGAAGTGAGGTAATTCATCATCGGAGAATATTTTCCGGGTGGTGTTGATTAAACAGTTGAAAAATATGCGAACTGTCTGCTTTTTTTTTCGCTTCCCAGAATGTGGAAAAAGAAATTGATGTGGGAAATTGGCAACTGTATAAGTGATAACTGATAATTTTTGAGAAGGTTTGCCTAAGAAATTGGGCAACTGACATCCAAAAATTATATGTCTAAAATTCCAAAAACCAATTTCATATAATATCTCCAGTAAACATACATTTATTGTTCTCATGATCATCTGTGTCATGACAGACACATGACAGAAAACTTTCCAAAAAAGGGCATCAACCAAATACACCCCTAATTATAAATAACTTACATCTACAAAATACTCACATACAGAAAAATCATAAGATAAACTGGAAATACATTTAACAAATGAGAACATTAACAAAGCATGTAAGACTGGTAACTTCTTGGGTGAAAATTTGAGAAACAATAAGTCAATAATGAATGAAAATAATTGAGGGATCTACAAACTTACATGTAGATCGTGCCCTAAAGTTTATGTAGGAAGGACTTCAAGAAATTCGAAACGAGGATATCCGAACATAAGAGAAGTTTTGAACTAGCTATGTTTGGCAATACCGATGATATCTGGGATCGAGGGCTGTGATCTCAGATTTTAAGAACCCATTCATCACCACGTTTCTCAGCTGCTTTCAAGATTGTTGCACTGAGAGATAACTTTTCCACAGTAATGACATTGTACCGTTTTTCTAGCTTCTTCTTTCTTTCTGCCACAAGGAACTCTTCAGTTATTTTGTCTCCACATAGACAACAGTGTTCTCTGAAATTGAACTACTCAAAGATTGATTTCGTGACCCTTGATGGCGTAATATTCGATTCTTTACTGCTAACAGCTGATTTGATCAACTCCGGATTGTTATATTTTATCTGACAAGCACTGTGCACATATACCTCATTTACGCCCATCAAAAAAAGCTGATTTTCTATGTTCTTGAGGGAAATACTCGACGGAAGAAGGGTTTTGACACCTCTTCCTTTCATTAGGCGCACTTGACCTTCACTTAAAGTCTCCTTACATATAAAACACAAACCTAGGCTGGGACTGGGATCAGACATTTTGTAGATTTTCAAACGGCATGTACGTTATGGGCAGCCGGCCAGTCAACAATTGAAACGAAAACAATAATTGGATTATTCATTAGGCCAACAACACAAGCAAGTCTGCACCAAAATTGGAGAAAAAACCCGATTTTTTGCGGTTTTTTCGATTTTAGACAAAGTTCTGTCCGGCACCCGAGGTCACCAACTTGGATTATACATTAAGTCCACATCACAAATAAGTCTGAAGAAAATTAGAACTACCGGATTTCAAAAACTAGGGTTGTTATTGCCAAAATTGGAGAAAAAACCCGATTTTTTGCGGTTTTTTCGATTTTTGACAAAGTTGCGTTCGGCGCCCGAGGTCACAAACTTGGATTATTCATTAGGCCAACATCACAAATAAGTCTGAAGAAAATTAGAACTACCGGATTTCAAAAACTAGTCCTTGAGGGTTGTTATTGCCAAAATTGGAGAAAAAACCCGATATTTTGCAGTCTTTTCGATTTTTGACAAAGTTGCATTCAGCGCCCGAATTCACAAACTTGGAATATTCATTAGGCCAACACCACAAGAAGTCTGCAAAACATCCAAACTGCCGGATTTGACGCATACTACCCGAAGTCCTCTCCGAAGGGAAAATCGAATATTTTTTTTGAAATGTTGATTCACCCCGCTTTGGAGATTTTGAATTTTGACCAGTTTTCAATCGCTATACTGAAATTCCATAATAGTGGGCACTGAATTCTCAAAAATACTATTGGGTTGAAACAAAACATTGTTTTCATATTGTGATTCTATAATATATTTTATCATCTGATAAAAACATATAGAATTATCATGTCATAAATCACATAGAATGATAAAATATATGGAATAACAACCTGACAACAATATATTCGTTTCAATGCAATAATACATCTGAGAATTTAGTGGCTACTATTATAGAATTTTAGTATAGGAAATATGTTTTTGTAAGTTAGGTAAATATATTACTATCCTAGAAATATTTTTCTACAACTCTCCGATTTACGACGATCAAAAGTATCTCATTTTGAATGTACTATGAAAATGTCATGAAAGTCATGAAATTGTTTTGGATTTACGTTGTTGAATATGATTATATTTAAGAGGTGGTCTCTGATATCATCTGGTGTTTCAACCATCCAGTCTGGAAAATAAATAAATTTAAATCAAATTTGAAAGATGGCCAAGTGATATGAAGATCAAAGTGAAAAGTTACTGCGTGATAGAAACCTTTGAAAAGTTTAATTGCCCATCAGTATCATAATCAATAGTTCAAAAGACAAAAGTTCAAAGACAAATTAGTGATTGACTAGACTTTTCATAGGCTTATATTGATCAGTAACTTTTCCAAATGAATTTTCCAGTTTGCACTTCATTACAATTGAGCAGTTTCTTTGTTGGGCTACAGTCATTAATGTTTCAGTTTGTGTAAAGTTGAAAACTCCAAAGAACAATAATTATTCGGCGAAAAACATGCTTTTCAAGAAGTAACAAAAACTGAGTAATGAACAAATTCTTCTATGTTTCTTTCAGCTTGAACGTGTCCAATCTGAATTCGTTGGCTACAGTCACTTTCGAGGACTTTATCAAACCTATTCCTCTTCTCAAAGGCATGAAAGACGCCCACGAGCTATTTACCATCAAATTCATCGGAGTCGTCTACGGCCTGGTCATCATGGGAATAAGTTTTGGAGTGGGCTTGTTGGACGGTGTTATCGAGTCTTCTATGTTAGTCACTTCCGCCACTTCAGGGCCCTTGCTCGGGGTGTTCGTGATGGCGATGTTAATACCCTGTGCAAATTGGAAGGTAAGGAAAAACTTGGGGAGGAAAAACGATACTTGTAGAGTAATTTATTCATGAGCTGATGGAGTAGAGAGTGCATTGAAGCAACATTTTCATACGAATCGAAATCCTGATAGTGTTCAACCCCTAGTCTCTTGCCGTTGAAATGATTACATTTTTCAATGTAATTCAGACTGAACTGAAGTTATACCAGTTGAAATGCCTATCTGCTTTTTTTTTAGTTTTCGATAGTTTTAAATATTAGTCTCCTGGTAAACAAATAGAAATTGAAATAAAACAAAACACAAATCATACAAATAACCTTTTTGCATAGTTATTCATAAAGAGTTAACGAGTGTATTCAATTTCATGGATTTCATCAATATTTCTCTCAGAACAATCAGTTCCATCATTATTATTTCTGTCAAGAACAACGATAGTGCCATACTCATGGTGATATACGTAATCTGTTTCACGAAAAACCCAATTTTTTATATAAATTTCGTACTCATTATTTGAATGAGTGGTATTAATAATTTTATTCGCCTCAAAAGGTTTATGTTTGCAGAAAATACAGTGAGGTTTCGAAGTTTGTTTCCATATCTTAAATATACTTAAAAAGTTTTAGAACGATATTTTTATAGTATTTTTCACCAAAAAACTTTTGGTGTGATTTTCTAAATTCAAATAATTTCTTTTTTTTATTTGAAAAATAGAGTTGCATCAACCCCTTGGGTTTTTAGCAGCAAAACATCAACATCTCATGAAATATATACTATTTACAACTTCGAGGCTAAAAACAATTGACATTGAAAAATAATATATCCTATGTAAATGTCTATTTATGCCAAGAACTCTATGACACTTCCAAAGGTGCATTGCTCTCGAAGAACTGCCTTCAATTCTGAACGGATGCTGAACTTTTGTCGTGTCGCAAAACCGGGGCTGGAGAAAATATTTTTCGGAGTTATTGTGAAAAAGCGTCGCTCTCTTTATCGATAAAGGATGTTTCTTCGGCCAGTTATTGTTTCATTATCTTTCTTTCTGAGCTTCGTACATCTAGTTTCAAGTGATCTTTCATTTAAATACGGATAGATGCTTCCTATCATACCCAATAAGCCTCGCACATCGTAAGTTTACTGATTAGCTACGCTCAGAGGGTCATTGGATCCTTAGACATCCTCAAAGAAATCTTTGAGTTAATTGTAATCAATGACAATCTCGATGAAGTCTCTAGATGGTTTTATAAATTCTTCATCGGATTTTGTTTCCTTGCTATCAGCTGGTATCTCTTTGGAGATACTCGATGATGGCTTCTCAAATGGGTCGAATATCGTTTCATCAGTTGGTCTCAGTATTTCGGTAATAGCTATTTTGTTCGAGCTGCTGGAGTTTGTAGAAACAGGTGATTCGCTAGGTTGTGGAGTTTGTTCGTATTATTCCGATGATATTTCTGGAGGAGAAGATTCATTATGACCAGGATTGGAGCGATGGTTCGTTTGAAGTTTTGGTTATTTCTGTAGCAGGTGAAGTGTCGAGCTCAGGTAATCGTTTTTGAAATTCAGCAATACGCTGGGAAGATATATGGCCGGGTTGACGGCTCTTGAAACATGTAAGGTTATTGAGTGACAGATATACTTTGTACGACGTATTATCGTGAACCACTAAAATCGATTTTGGAATGTTGACATCTTCTGGTGGATCCATATAGACTTGCCTTCTGAAACTTATTATGTGTGCAAAATCGGGATTTGTCATGTTGACTCGCTGAAATGTTATTGGTGAAAATATTTTCAGGCCTATTTGATGGAGAGTCTGTTCTAGAAGAGAGTGAAAAATTATAGGGTTGATGTTGGATAAACTCAATCTCTCAGACGGGGTAATTATTCTCCTCGCTCTTAAGATTTCGCTGCCTATAGTGATTGTACCGTGTTCATTCATGAACGTGTTTACCAGTTCTGTATTAGAGAAGTGCATGCAGATTCAGTGGCAAAATTGAAAATTAAATTTGATAGTTATTTTCACCACTTTCATTCGTAACTAACGTTACTGCAGTTTCCCCCTGAAAGGGCACTACGTTTAAGTGTACCCATCCTAGGAAAAATTGGATTTGATTGATTGAATGTACCCATTTGATCGAAACCTATGTAGAGGTGCACGGCACTGGACCATGCTGTTGGTGACAAAAAACACAATAACTTGAAGAAGTCAATTTGCGGACAATGTTAAAAAAGCTCCCAAGTTCTATGAGCACGTACTAATCGACCGTCTCGATCGGTATCTCGACATAAACTCACTTTTTCATATATTTCAATTATAAATTTCTCATACACATTCCTGACAAAGCATATCATTTCAATGGAGATGTAGAAGCATGCAGCAAAATCCATATATTATATCTGCATACATACATGGTGCATTAATCATTATACATACATGGTGATTTATGCTATTCGAATATTCAATAATCATTGTAGGAAGTGAATTTAGTAGTTTCCAATTCTCACGTAATCGCTGCAGAGCCATATTAAAATTCTACTGTTAAAACAGTATACTGTTAGGAATCACACGTTTTAGGAATCACACGTTAAAAGGTAAGACCTCGTTAATCCTTAGCTCGCACAAGTTTCGACTTTAGGAGGAGCCTGCCTTTCGCTGATGTATGCATGAGAGAAAGGTAAGCCAGATTACCTGGCTCCGTTACGCGTAAGGTAACGAAGCTGTTTACTCTTCTATAAGAGGTTACCTATCACTGCAATAAAAATTGTTTCTCCTAACAAACACACCTAGTCGATGAAAGAACAATATTTTTGGTGAAACTTTGACACATCGTTACTCGGAAACGAAAAAAGTTTGGACATACATATATGTGAACTCTTTTTCATTAAATATGACAAGTTATCGACACCTGTAATTATTGACATCATTTATGATACACCCTGAATGAAGATTCATTTTAAAAAACTGTCTCGGGAAGCTCAATTCACAAGAATTCCGCTTTATAGGTGGAAGACAATATGAAATGTGTATTTCGTTGCATATTTCTGATATACGAGTCTCAAAGGGAAAACTCCTGTTTTTGAACTAGATAGATGAAAACTGATGGCTGTGTCTGAGGGTCAGATGTTATGAAAAACGCAATGGTGAAAACCGAATATCAATATCTATAGATAATGGTAAATATCAAATTTTTTTGAATGAGATATCAATAGTTATTGATGAAAAATCATTTTTTTGATAAAACATTTCTTCATATTTCAATAGAGCTCAAAATTACCCTGCCAAAAATGTAGCACACTTGATGTTTTGTTAGAGTCACCTTTGAAATACAAAGCTTTCAAGTTTTTTATGTAGACTTTGGAACGCACGCTTTGATCAAGTAGGATTTTGACGACGTGGCCATAGAACAGAAAGAAATCGTTAAGTAGTAGCTATTAAATGTTGAGAAACCTGTTCACGGCAGTGATTCAAACACATAGTTTCAATAAAATTGATAACAATTTATACTAGCCCAGTCTTGTTGAGAATTAATTTTTCTGAGCTCTATTAGTGGTAATTAATCAAAAAGTAGTTCAATATTTAGCCTTAAAATTTCTAAATACAGCTGAGATGTGAGAAGGCCATTATAAATGAACGGGCCGATAATTCTACTCCTAAAAACAGCCGGCAGCTGCCCACATACTAAATCAAAATCTTCCTTGACTTCCGTAATCCATGATAGAATGAGGATTTTGTTGTGCCCAAGTTGAAAAATTGTAGCGGTTGAAAATACCGACACTGCTCACATAAGCTTCGTCTGTCCAAATACAATTCAACGAAAAATCAGGCACTTGGTTACAACTTTCCAGGAACCACTAGCAAAAAGCCATGCGGCGTTCAAAATTTCCTGGTCTGAGTTGATGAAGTATTTTTATCCTGTATGTCATGAATTTGTTAGTTCTCGGTAGGCCTGTTGATATTTTCAAATTTCAAACCCCATTTTTCATATTTCTTATACTTCATTGCGAATGTATTCGGGAATTCAACAAAAATCACTAATTGAAGAGCATTTTTACTGCTTAAATCAAAACTTGATAGCTATCAGTAAAAATTTGCATTCTGTTTCATCGCCGCAGCGTCCAAAGCCTACTTTATTAAAGTATGTGTTTCAAAGTCAACATGAAAAAAAAACTGAAAGCTCTGTATTTCAAAGATGACTTCAGCAAAACATCAAGTGTGCTACATTTTTGAAAAGATAATTTTAAGCTCTATTTATTTTTTAGACCATCGAAATTTTTGACAGAACAAAAAGTTACAGCAACTTTTGGAGAATGCACATTTTCAGGAAACGGTAATAAATATCGATAGGTACGCTCTTTTTACCATTAAGTTGGTCGAAAAATTTGATCCTCAAACACAGTCATCAGCCTTCATCTATCTAGTTAGAAAACAGGAGTTTTAGTCTTATCAACAAGTTCAAAAAAAACATGAAAAATAGAGATAAAGTTCCTAAAAATATGAGCGATAGCTCATTCGATTCAGAATCACCTCTAGAAAAATGTTTTTGAAGGATTTTGATGCAGGTGAAAAATTGCAATTGTTATTAACAAAATAAGATTGAAAAAAATTGGTATTTGGCTTTTCGTTAATAACTCACAAAATATCAATATTTAGGCAATTTTGAAAAAAGCTCGTTAAAGATGAGGAAATTTCAGATAAAAAAGTCCTAACTCCCGAAACTCTATCTCCATTATTTATAATTTTAATTTTTGATAACGAAAAACTCAATACCATTTTTATATTTTATTTTGTTAATAACAATTACAATTTTTACCTGCACCAAAATCCTTCAAAAACATTTTTCTAGAGGTGATTCCGAATCGAATGAGCTATCGCTCATATTTTTAGGACCTTTATTTCTATTTTTCATGTTTTTGAACTTGTTGATTAGATTATTTTCTTTCGAAAGTGTCCAATTTGGCCCGACTCTCTACTCCTTCCATGCAGATTGTCGTTTTTGTCAGTTAGAATTTGCGTCCCATTAC